TTCGTGCGCCAGGCGGCGCGCTCGGACTCGGGCGAGTACGAGCTGAACGTGCAGATCGAGAACATGAAGGACACGGCCACCATCCGCATCCGGGTCGTGGGTGCGTGGCCGAGGAGGGGCAGGGGACCGCGGGCGGGGGGGAGACAGGCCAGGGGGCAGTGGGGGAGCCGGGGTGGGAGGCGGGGCGAGATGCGACGGCCCGGGAGCCGGGAGGGGAGAGATTGAACAGTGGGGGGAGGGTGTGAAGGGGGAAAAGGTGAGGCAGCGGGAGTGGGGAGAAAGGCCCAACGGGCGTCCGAGTCCAGAGAGGAGGAGAGGGGTGGACGTTCAGGGACGCTTGGACTGGCGTGGAGCATCCACCACGCCTTCCAGAAAAGGCAGGGCCACCGGTGGACGTGACGGTGAAGGAGGTGTGGGGCAGCAACGCGCTGGTGGAGTGGCAGCCCCCCAAAGATGATGGCAACAGCGAGGTCACGGGCTATTTCATCCAGAAGGCCGACAAGAAAACCATGGTGAGCCACCAGCGGGGCCTGGGGCCGGGTGGGCCGAGCGTCGCGGCAGGCGCGGCTGCTTTCCTGTCCAGCTGGGGAAACCGAGGCGCCGGGAGACTGGGCGAAGGGGCCGGGCCGGGAGGGCAGGTTTTGGCTGAGGCTCAGTGCATGATAGGCTTGCTTTGTCTTCTTCATAGCGGTAAAATTCTCAAAACAAAATTAAGCATTAACTTTAAAGTGGCATCTCGTATGTTCCCAGTGTTGTGCAACCACCGCCCCTGTCCCGTCCCAAGACATTTTCATCACCTGAAAGGAAACCCCGTGTCCATTGAGCCGCCGCCCCCTCCATTCCCTCCCACCGGCCCCTGGCAGGCAGCCCCCAGTCTGCCTCTGGTCTCTGGGGGTTTGCCTATTCTGGACACGTCCTATGAACGGGACCACACAATAGGTGGCCTTTTGTGTCTGGCTTCTTTCACACAGCCTCAGGGTTTCCAGGTATGGGTGGTACATTGTAGGAGGTGTCAGCGTTTCGTTCCTTTTCATGACTGAGTAATAGTCCTCGGCTTGGATGCTACCACATGTTGCTTCTCTGTTCATCTGTTGATGGGCATTTGGGTGATTCCCATTTTCCGGCCGCTGGGAACGGCGCTGCGGGGAAGGGCGGGCTTCCTTAGCTCCGCGCACGCTGGGGTGTGCTTGCCTCACTCACCCTGGCTCCTCTTGTGTCTGTGTCCCTGACTGTCCCGGCCCTGCCCCATCCCTGCACTAGGAGTGGTTCAACGTCTATGAACACAACCGCCAAACCCACTGTACCGTGGCTGACCTCATCATGGGCAACGAATACTATTTCCGAGTTTATAGTGAGAACATCTGTGGGCTCAGTGATACCCCCGGCCTCTCCAAGAACACGGCGCGGATCCCCAAGGCAGGTATGGCCGTCCCCCTCTGCAGGGGCCAGTCCCCAGTCACTGCTCCCTCCGCCTCCCGGCCAGGGTCTGCCCCGACTCCTCTGCAACCCCCCTCCCGGACTCAAAGCTGATGGCACCTGGTGACAGGTGTTTGGGGGACAGTCAGGATCAGTCACCTTACAGGTTCATCTCCCTTCCCCCAGGTCTCACCTACAAACCTCTTGAGTACAAGGAACATGACTTCCGCACGCCTCCCAAGTTCCTGACGCCGCTGCCGGACCGAGTGGTTGTGGCTGGTTACGCTGCTGCGCTCAACTGTGCCGTCAGAGGCCACCCGCAGGTGCGTGCGTGCGCGCGTGTGCGCGCGCACCCCTGCAGGGAGAGCTTCTGCAAGCTGAAGCCCCTGCTCCTTCCCATCGCACCCCCTCTTCTCCTCTGACTTACCTCTTCTCCGTTCATGAAATTTGCTCACTTTTAACGGGCAGGTCAGATGTACCTGCCACCGGTTTCGCTAACTTTTTTATTGGAACGTGGCCACACACACTTGCACCTCAGAGCCCTCAGAGCCTCCAATATCAGCTCCCTGGGCCTTTGCATACCAAGCTTGCCACGTTCTGGTCTGGCTTCAAAGTTTCAGCTTTGGCCCTTCAGGCACATCACGGGTTCACCTGCTCACCTCCATCTACCTGCTTCATTCACCAGCTCTGCTCATGTATTCGCCTCCCAGTCCACTCACTTACCCAGTTCATTCACTGCATTCACTTATTTACATCGTTCATTCACCATTTATGTATGTATTTTTTAATCGTCACCCAAGGACACGTTTATAGATTTTAGAGAGAGGGGGAGGAGAGACAGAGAAACATTAATTGGTTGCCTCCCACACATGCCCTGACCGGGGCTCGAACCTGCAGCCTAGATATGTGCCCTGAGCAGGAATCAAACCTGCAACCTTTTTGGTGTATGTGACGATGCTCCCGCCTACTGGAGACAGCATTCACCCAACATCACACACGGGACTACAGAATTATCGAGGGCAGTGAGGTGCCAGAGCAGTAAGGCAGCCCTGAGCATGTGACATGGACTTGAGGCCCCCGCTGGGGGCTGGGGAGCCACGCGCGAGCTGAGGCCTGAGATGGCAGGTGCCGACTGGTGAGGGCAGGAGAAGAACAGCAGCCTTGGAAGCGGGAGCAGCCGGTGCCAAGGCCCTGAGGCAGGGGCCTGTCCGGTCTGTTTGAGGGACAACAGGGTCGCCGGTGTGGCCAGAGCAGACGGAAGCGAGGCTGGAGCAGCTGGGCCCTGCGGGGCACACGAGGAGCGAGCTCGTCCTCCCACAGCAGAGGAGACGGAGGGTCGGAAAAGCCCCAAGGCCCAGCTCATCCAGCCAAAGTCAGGAGGTGACACAGGCAGAGTGAGAATTCGGACCTGCCTCCCAAGGCCCATGCTGCCATGGCGCAGGGGACCCTCTCTCAGCGGGCCCCCTCTCTTGCTCCCCGCAACAGCCGAAGGTGGTCTGGATGAAGAACAAGATGGAAATCCGAGAAGATCCCAAGTTCCTGATGACCAATTTCCAGGGGATCCTGACGCTGAACATCCGCCGGCCGACGCCCTTCGACACCGGGACTTACTCCTGCCGGGCTGTCAACGAGCTGGGGGAGGCCCTGGCCGAGTGCAAGCTGGAGGTCCGAGGTGAGCGGCGGCCCCTCCGCCCGGCTGGCCCGCACGCGTGCCCTTCCCAGAGCTAAGGGGAGTCAGCCGATGGGAGGGCGGCGGACGCAGGGTGACAGGCTGCAGGGGGCGCTGCAGGGGAGGCTGCAGGGAAGGCGGCACTGGGGTCCGGGGGCGGGGGCGGGGGCGGAGGGAATGCCTGGCCCTCCGGGCAGGAGTGCGAGGATTTCCGAAGGAGTTGAAGGACAAAGAAGTCACTGAGGGGAGCTTGGGAAATGATTGCGAGGGCCTCCGGCAGGGAGGCGTGCGGACATAGCACATAGCGTGTAGACAAACACGGCTGATGGCAGAGGACCCCGGGGCTGTGGGAGCTCAGGAAAATGCCTCCCCTGCACAGCTTGTCCCCGTGCACTGCCCCATCTCATCCATCCTCTTCCTCCAGAGTTCCCGTCCCGCCAGCCTCCCCGTCTCCCTCTCTCTGTCCACCCCACATGGGGCCCTAGAGGATTCTCTTCTCCAGGGCTGACCTGCCCCCCACGGGCCTCCCAGCAGCCCTGGAGCCCCTCAGCCTGATGTCACCGTCCTGCGCCTGGCCCCCTGCCCCTCCTCTCTCCAGCCTCATGTACCCCCATTTCCCCCCACGCTGTGCCGGCCACACCAAGCAGCTGGCGTTGGTCAAACTGGCCGCGCTTCCTCCAGGCCACTCTACATGGAACACTCCTCTTCGCTTCCCCCACGTTGGCCTCCCGCCCGCCCAATATCCTCCAGTCAAGGAGGTACAGGGTGGCTGCTAACCAAGTCTGTTAGGGGTGGCTTCCAGAGCCCCGCCCTGACTGTGACTTCCCCTGGCCCTGAGGACAGCCCGCCAGTCAGCAGTGGCCTCCGACCCTTACCAAGGGCTCAGAGACCTCCAAGCCTTCGCGTCTATCATTCCTCCAAGCTGACCCAGTTTCTCATGCTCTGTCCCCTTTATCCACTACTGAATCAGCTCCGAAATATCCCCACTTCAGGATTCCAGTGACAGCTTGTTGCCAGCTCAGAAATCGCTGATCAGAATGTCCCAGTTTGGGGTTCAAAGCTACAGCAATCAATCGCGAGGCACCACCAGCGGCGTTGGGTGGCGAGCAGGGTGCTGAAGGGGAAACTTGCTCCCCCTGCTGGCCAACTGAGTCCAACCCCAACTGAGGCAAAGGGGCCTGGCGGGGGCACCTGCGGGGTGCGGGTCGCGGGGCAAAAGCCAGGTCCCTGCAGCCTCTCTTAGCCACCTTTTCCTCGTTTCACCCGCAGTGCCCCAGTGAAACTCTCTCCGACCCGCCCATGTAATTGGCTGCTGAGTCCTGACCCGACCTCCCTGAACAGTGTTTCCCTTTGAGAAGGTATCACTGAGAAGATAAAGAGTCTTTTCTGGAAACGCACGTTGTCTGTCCTTCTTGAATCTTAGCTCTGCCTGCCTCCTCCTGTAGGGGCTAAGCACCGGGGGGGTGGGTAATGGGGACAACTAGGTTGGAGTGGCCACCACCGACTGGCAACAGACCACGTGGAGGCCGCCATTTTGGAACAGCTACTTTAGTGAAGCCATCGCGTTGCCATGGCAACTCCCCAGCGTCTGAGGCCGCGCTGTAGACTAGCTCTGAGGAGAGGGAGCGAGGCAGGCCCGCTGCTGAGGCAACTACAACGAGTCAGAGGAACCGGAGGCCAGGCTGGGAAGGTTGCTCCGGTGAGGTAGCCGTGAGCGCATGGCGGCACTGGGCCTCAGCGGTGCCCCCCAGCGGCCAAACGGGACGCCCCGAAGACCCCGCGGGGGCATCGCGGAAAGGCCGCTTCCACCAGGCGGCCATGTTGAATTGGTGACGACGGCAAAACTGCTCACGACCTGGTTCTCGGTTCCTAAGCGGACGAGCTTTTTGAACTTTAATAATTCATCTGTCCGGCCCCGAAGAAGGGTCCTTAGCTCTCTGGCTCTTTGGAGACTTCACAGGGTGTCGGAGGATTCAGCGTCCCCACAGTTAAGAGGCCTGGGAGTGCAGTCTGGCTTCCACGGCTCGAGGCTGCGTACAAGAGGGTTTGTCTCAGAGGCTTTGGCTGGAGATGTGGCTGTAGTTTGGGGTGGGTGGGGGGACCCTGTACTTCCCCGGAAGGCAGGGGGGCGCTGTTTCCAGAGGAAGAGACCCCGCGCGTTCCAGGGGCCCCACCTTCAAGCACAGGCGCCCCTCCCCTCCCAGGCCTGACCCTGACCAGCAGCTGGCCGCGCCCCTGCTGGCCTGGCAGTTCCCCCCAAAACCCTACTGCATGTGGGTGGGAAGAGGCTGGAAGGGGGCAGGGGACCATCTTAGTTCGTACAGCGAGGCCAGCTTTCGTTTCCTGCTGTCCTTGACGCACAGGCTTCAGGCCCTTTCAGGAATCAGGAGTCCAGGCCCTTGGTCACTTCCACCCTCAGACACAAGCCTTCAGGCCCCCAGCCACCTCCTCCCTCAGACCCAGGAGTCTGACCCGACCTCCCTCCTCTGCGCAGCCCCGCCCCCTCACCTCCTCCCCCTAAGTTAGATCCTCTACGTTGTCATCCTCGTCGTCCTCGTCCTCGTCGTCGTCCTCGTCCTCGTCGTCCTCGGCCCCGGTGTCAGCCCTCGAGAACTCCTGCGTGAAGGGTTCGGCTCCCTGGGCCGAGTGGAAGCGCAGGCGGTACAGCAGCCGCACCCACTGGCCGAACTTGCGGTCGCGGGTCTTGAGCGAACCCCGAAGCCGCAGGTAGAAGGCACGGCCGTTTTGAAACTTGACCTTGAGCTGACAGTGCCTTTCGTCGTGGACGAAGAGCTGAACGAACTGCAAGGGGAACAGACTGGGCGGGCGGAAGGGGCGCTCTCAGGTCCCGACCCTCCCAGACTCTGTAGCCCGGGCGCCCTGGGAGTCGGGCGCGCCCACATCGCCACCCCTTTCGCTGCCCGGAAGGAGTCCTTTTTCACTTTCTCTGTCTCTTGAATCTTACCCATCCCCAACTTCCACCACAAAGCACACTTGCGTCTCCTACTGGCCCTCGATCCTAAACCCCAGACTGGAATAGACAGCCGTCTACTTGAAATCAAGTTCCATTTGGATGCTGGATTGACATGGGACACAAAAGGTCCCACATCCGAATTCCTGACCTTTTCCCCACCCCAAACCCGCTCCTCTCGCTCCTCCCAATTTTGATTACGTTCTCCCACCTGCTCCATCAGAAACGTGGAGTTCCTCCTGATCTCTCACACCCTCACCCAGCCCTGCCACGGAATCCTGACGGCTCTACTGTTAAAACGTATTCACAATCCGACCGTTCCTAACTCCAACCTCCAACCGGGTCCAGCCACCGAAATTTCCCGCCTCGGCCCGCAGCTCGTCTGTTCCCCACGAGGCCGCCAGAGGGCGCCGGTCAACACCTGAGTTGGCGCGGGTCACTCCTTCGGCTCAGAGTGAAAGCGAAGTCCTCACCTTGCGCAGGAGGCCTTGCGGGATCTGTCCCCTTTGTTCCCTCTCTGCCCTCACTTTCCGCCTATTTCCTTGGCTCACTCAACTGCAGCCACTCTGGCCTCCTCGCTGTTACGTAAATCTGCCAGGCTTGGTCCTACCTCAGGGCCTTCCTGCGAGCTGTTCCCTCTGCCTGAAATCTTCCTCCAGCCATCCCCGTGGCTTGGCCCCTTCAGCTCTCCCAGGGAAGTCCGTGTACAACTCTTGGCCCATTTGCAACCATATCCACGCTTGCAGACCACCCCATGGTCCCCTGCCTGATGTCTCCACAGACACCTTACCCCATTGGACCAACTGCCATTTATTCTGTCTGCCTGCCCAGTAGAAAAAGGTGAGCTTGAGGCCAGAGATTTTTATCATCCTCACATCTGTGCACATGGAGGTCCCCTGCCTGCCACACTGGCTGTGATCCCAAAGACACCAGACACAACCTCCGTGGGGGACTCTATTCGTGATGTCTCCAAATGGAAGGCCAATGGCTGGCATTGACCAAGAGCTTACTCTGTGCCAGGCGCTGTTCCAAGCTCTTTTACTCAGTTCATTCCCCAGCTGCCTTGGAGGTGGGATCTCCCCTTATCCCCATGTTCCAGGTGAGGAAACTGAGGCCCAGATAGGGAACTTGGCCAAAGCCAGTGAAAAGGTGAGGCCAGGATTTGAACCCAGGTCATACGGGGTGGCCTTTGTTCAAGGATGTTTCCTACCATAATAGCAAGAGTGGTGTCCATGGGACAGTTTATTCAATCATGTATGTCCACAAGAGGACCTGGTGGCTGTAGTCAACATGAAATGAATATTGATATGCTGAGGGAGGGGGCAGCGGGGAAGGTAGTATATAGCATGTGCTTGCAACTGTTAAAAGAGCCAACACACACTAGATGCCCATCAGAAGTGGTTCAGAGTAACTCCGGGCTCTAAGCCGGTTAGCAGCCAGGGGCCAGGGTGAGCCTTGCGGCTGAGTTTGCAGAGCAAGCTCAACGTTTTTACATCGACGGTATATTTATTTGGGAGCTGGTGATGGGAGGGTGCTGCAGATTATGAGGGTCAAAGCCCTCCCTCAGCACCATCCTTAATGTCCTTCCAACTGCAGGTCATGCGTGACTCAGCAGTGAGATCAGTTGGTGGGATAGAATAGGCACTGAAAAGGAAAGGAATATTGTAGAAGAGGAAATGTCCAGTGTAGTGTAAGATGTCTGAATACTGCTTTGGGAAATGTTTTAAACTCACAGAGGAGGATTAAGTAAAGGCTCTAAGTAGCCTTTAGTTAGTTCAGGTCAGAATCAGATTCTGCCACCAAGTGAATTACAAAAACATCAAAAGCCACAAAACACAGAAATGTTTTGGTATTTGCTACTGGAGTTAATGCAGGAGCCTAGGATGGCAGAAAAGTGTATTTTGTGCTATGTCTGTTTTATACCTTGGAGTGGATCTGCGTTACTTTTTAGAAAATATTTTATTTTTAGAGAAGAGGGAAGGAAGAGAGGGAGAGAAACATCTATTTGTTGCCTTTCACATGCCCCCAACCAGCAACCTGGCCCACAACCCAGGCATGTGCCCCCAGCTGGAATCGAACAGGTGACCTCTGGGTGTGCAGGGCGCCACCCAACCCACCGGGCCATACTTGTCAGGGCGGATCTGCATTACTTTTTCCATGAAAAAAACTAAGACCTGAAGGGGCACTGTGTAGTGTGACACAGGAGTTTGAGCACCATGAGGTCAGAAGTCATGAGAAGCCTGAGGTTCCTTTTCAGCCAGTCCTCGACCCCCTGTGAGATCCTGGGCAAGTGGTTCTCCTCTCTGGGCCCCAGTTTATCTCTTTGGAGGATGGGGCTAAGGGGCCCTGCCTCACAAGATAATGATGTCAGAGAAGAGGTGACGTGAGGGGCCAGGGGTGCTTAGCACGTAGTAGGTGTTGCAGGTCGTTCTCTTGGCCCCTGCCAGGCTGTGGCTGAGGACTGTTCCCCTCATGTCTGTCTCTCCCTGATTTGGGGCCCCTGTGGACTGCCCTGTCCTCGTTCTCCTGGGTGGCCGGCAGCCCAGAGAGAGCTGGTAGCCACCCAAGGCTCCTGGCCCTGGGGGTCATCGGGGTGAGAGGGGGTGCTTGCCAGGAGCCTCGCGTGCCCTGAGCTGGGGAGGCAGGCGGTATGGGTGGCGGTGGGGCAGTCACCCAGAGAGCTGCAGGCGTCCGTTCTCCTTGGCAGGGCGCGCCAGCAGCAACAGGTCTGGGAGTTCCAGGGCTCGGCTGGAGGCTGCCACCCCCATGGTTACCTTGTTGGCAACTTCTCCTAACCGGGTCACCTGGGGTGGGGGGACAAGGGTTAGAAGCTGGATAGATGCGGGGAGCAGAATTACAGAGGGATCAGAGTCACGAATCTTGGCAGGATTAAGGGTCATGAACCCAGTGAATTAAATACCAAGCCGGGAGTCGGATACTCTGAGTTCAAAGGTCTTGACGGTTAAGTCAGGGAAACTAAGGGGGAATCGGAGGCCCAGGTTTCATAGAAAAGTTAAGATCTGGAGGTATGGGGAAAGGAGTCGGTCAGGAATTCCAGGAAAGGAACATTATGGGGGAAGTCTTCAGAAGGAGGGAGAGCTGGGGTTGCCAAAGTCAGGAGGCCGGGACTCAGGCTGCCGCTCAGGGGGTCCTGGGGCTCCACACCTGCACGAAGTTGCTCTCAAAGATGGGTAAGTCTCGCAGCTGGTCGAACTCGCCGCGCAGAAGGTGGCGTTGGAGACGTCCAGGCCGGCCCGCCGGACAGGCTGGAACCGGGACGCGTTCTAGGGGGTTAAGTTCGGGGGACTATTCCAGGAGGCTGGGTCAGGCACGCCCGGCTGGCAGGGCTTCGGACAGCCCGGCGCTGAGAGCAGGGGTTTCTGGGCTATCGGTCTCCAGTTCGCCGACCCCATCCCTCACTTAGTCCAACCCCTCCAGGACTGGCTCCGCTTTCCCACCTGGTTCCCCGACACCTGCTTCACTGAGGGCCGGCCTAGGCTCGTGCCCCGGCTTCATCACAATGCCCCGCCCCTTTGGGCATCGGAGGGAGGAGCCGAGGGAGAAAACCGACGGGCGGGGCCGCGTATTCTGTAACCTCCAAATGCGGCGCACCGGGACTTGCCCAGGATTGTGCCGTCACCAGAGACGCGGTGGTCGCTCTGCTGACAGCAGGCCCCCGAGAGCGAGCAGGTGCTAGTGCGCAAACGCAAGGAGCCGGCGCAGGCGCACGGGCGGTGGGTTGCGGTCCGTTTTTCCCGGAGTGCTCTGCGGCACTCGGCTCACTCTCGCCCGTTGGCTGGTGGGAAAGGGCCAAAATGGCCGCGGCCGGCGCCGTAGCCAGTCGGCTGTTCCTGCTCTTGCTGGTGGCGGCCGCAGCCCCCAGTCGCGCCCGGGGCAGTGGTTGCCGATCCGGGGCCGCTGTGCGAGGGGTGAGTACTGATTGACTCTGCACAGGTGCGAAGCCGACGACAGTCGTGAATCTCGGACTTGGAGGTCGGTTAAGGTGGAAACGGGGCTGCGCAGGGCCGAGAGAGGAGAGAGGTGAAAGAACCGTGGAAGGCGAGTCTGCAGTCTTGCACATGCAGAGGCCGCACAACTGGGAGAAGCAATGGGAAAGCGTGATGGGGCAGGGCTCGGATGGGATTTTGGAATCTGGACGTTCGTTGCGGGAAAAACAAGTGCCCAAGGAGAAGGTTGGGGCCAGACTCCTCTTGACGTCCTAACCCTGGGGAGCTGCTGTCATGAATACGCATGAGGGGGTGTGGCTCGGATGGAATCCTGGCGAATCAGACGTCGGGCAGTTAAAATGAAAAGAGCCGGGGAGGGGGGCTGTCGAGAGATTGGAGAGGAGTTCTGGCTGTTTGAATATGCATGAGGAGGGCGAGATCTTGAGTTGTAGGATTAAAATCTTGAAAAGAGGTCGCGTAGGTGCGAGGGCCTAGAGTGGAGGATGAAGCCCAGGTAGAAGAAATGTGGCGATTTGGAGAAAAGAAGGGCATGGATTCTTGTATGTGTTTGATGGGAGGAGGAATTCGAGTGGCATCGTGGCTATTGGAGCAGTTAAGGTCAAAACGAGGCTACTTGGACATTGTTAGCTTGGAAAGGAAGCTAGGGTGCCCTTTAACTCAGGAATATTGATGGTAATAGGCCTGAAAATGACCCAGAGATAGTCGCCTTGGAAACGAGCTTACTGCTGTTTTCAGGCTCTGGATTCCTGGGGACTGTCCAGATCCTGAATTTTCATGAAATGGGCCGTTCTGGGTGGAGTTGTGGGCAAGCATCAGTGTTTGGATATAAGTATGAAAATAAGGCTCCTCTCCCAGCCTGCCAATCTGTCCGTCCTGGGGTCAGGGGGTCCTGCCCTGCTGAGGGCTCTGTTTGTCCTCACTTGGGGTCCTTTCTGTCATCTGCAGGCCGGAGCAGAAGGTCGAGAGAGCGAGGGCTGTGGCACCGTTGGGCTGCTGCTGGAGCACTCATTCGAGATCGGTGAGTTCAGTGATATCCTCGCCTGAACACTTACCCAGCACCCTGTGATGTGAGGAACAGCCTGGGTGCTGTGCAGTGTGAGGCGCCACCCTTTTACTAACAGCCTTGCCCCTGAAAGGGTGTGTGCATTACACTGGGGTGGTGCGGGCGGGGAGGGTACTAGAGAATAGGAACTCTGCCTTTATCTCTTCCATACCTGTGAAGCAATAATGACCTCAGAGCAGCCCTGGCTGGTGTGGCTCAGTGGATTGAGCGCTGGCCTGTGAACCAAAGGGTCACCGGTTTGATTCCTGATCAGGGCACATGCCTGGGTTGCCGGCCAGGTCCCCAGTTTGGGACATATGAAAGACAACCGATTAATGTTTCTCTCCCTCTCTTTCTCCCTCCCTTCCCCTCTTTCTGAAAATAAATAAAATCTTTAAAACAAAACAAAACCTCAGAGCCAACTTTTCTGACCAGTCGCTCATGCTCTATACCACTGGTTAGATGCTCTGCCTGGATTATGAACTCAAACATTCTCACAACAGTCACACAAAGTAGCGGGTGTTAGGGACAGCCCTGTTTTCCAGAAGAAGAAACTGAAGCTCAGACGGGCACCACACAAGAGCCTCCTGTAAGCAGGTGGCAGGGCTGGGCCCCACTCCCAAGTCCAGCCTAAGCTGCCAGAGCACAGATATCAGCGAGACCCAAGTGTTAATGACCCGGTCTGGGGCCCCAGAGTCTGGGGACGCTTGTTGTAAACACTGAAGCTGGGGCCGTCTGCAAGACCTCCTGGGTCAGACCCTGGCACCTGCCTGAGAAGGCCATGCTGATTGCAACACTGCCCAGCGGTGGGGGGCTCTTGGGCTCTGTAGCCCCTGTATTTTGCAGCTGGGAAAGCGGAGGCTCAGAGAGGTTAAATGAGTGTCCCTGGGTCATCTGGCCAGGCAGAAGCAGGGCTTAGGCGCTTTGCGGTGCAGGCGTCTGCCCTGGTCTGCTCTGTGAGGACGTGGTGGGGTGTCCGTAATTCGCAGGTGGGAAATGGGGGCTTGGGTTGGGGAAGCGAGCTGATCACTGCAAGGGCTGAGGGGCGCAGTGGTGGCATGCTTGCTGAGCCCGGGCTCCCCGCAGATGACAGCGCCCACTTCCGGAAGCGGGGCTCCATACTCTGGAACCAGCAGGACAACACCTTGTCCCTGTCACAGCGGCAGCTCAATGAGGAGGAACGGGGCCGACTCCGGGTGAGGAGGGGACCCGGGGCTTGGCAAGCAGGGGGACACGCATGCCTCAGGGCCTTTGCTCTTGCTGCCCCTCTGCCCAGCACACCCTCTCCTCCGTTGGTTGTCACATGACCAGCTCCTCTTGCCCTTCCAGGTTCAGCCAGGACGATTTACAGTTGGTTAGGCTGAGATTTGCTTTTGAGGAGAGAGATCCCCACAATAGCAAAGGTCAAACAAGAGAACGTTGCTTCTCCCATAGCCCTCCTTCCCGGCCTCCCCGAGGGCCCCAGGACCCTCGCTGGCCTGCTCGGCCCTCTCTAGGGGTGGCTGGGGCTCCGGTGGGGCTCCAGGCAGCAGGGTGGGTGAGGGGAAGAGGAGGGGCCCAGGGAACAGCCGTATTCTAGAGAAATCTGGCAAAGGCTGCCATAGTCCATGTCCACTCTATCCCTTGGGCCAGATGTAGCTGCAGGGGTCCTGGCCCCCCTACCACCAGGACCACCCCCGTGGGAAGAGTCCTGGGCATCCTCAGCTTAGTCGGGCTGGGCAAGACTGGAGCAGGGCCTTCTGGGCCGCGGGCCCCGTGCGGGTCTGGCCTTGGCAGGGGCCAGGCATCATCCCTCTTACCGCCGCCGCCTCCGCCCGCCCTGCAGGATGTGGCAGCCATGAACGGCCTGTACCGTGTCCGGGTCCCGCGGCGGCCTGGGGTCCCTGATGGCCCAGAAGCTGGCGGCTACGTCTCCTCCTTTGTCCCCGCGGTGAGTCAGTGACGAAGACCGGCTCCAGTCCTCCCTCCTCCCCCGCCGACCCCAACCCAGCCTGGCATCCACCATTCGTGACCCGGTATCCCAGTATTTATGGACGGGCGGCGGGAAACTTGGACATGGCCTTGTCCTTGAAGGTCTCCGCAGCTGCGGCCGCGTGGTGTGCTCTTTGAGGGGCGCTCAGGCCACCACGGGCCTGGGGAAGGCTGCCGCCCCCGGGCTTGTGCCTTCGGCGGGCAGGCAGCCATCGAGGCTTTGAAAGATGCTGCTGGGGCCGTGGGAGGGGCAGGAGGCTCCAGGACCCCAGTGCGGGCAAGGCCTGGGCACCAGCCCCCGCTCCCCTCTTCTGACCCTCCCCCCCAGTGCTCCCTGGTGGAGTCGCACCTCTCGGATCAGCTGACACTGCACGTGGATGTGGCTGGCAACGTGGTGGGCGTGTCGGTGGTGACGCACCCGGGGGGCTGCCGGGGCCACGAGGTGGAGGACGTGGACCTGGAGCTGTTCAACACCTCTGTGCAGCTGCAGCCGCCGGTCACGGCCCCAGGGTGAGGGCGCAGGACGGGGCCCAGACGGCCGTGGCAGCTTGGCTGCCCCCCCTCCCCACCTTTGCTGGTGCTCTCGGTGGCCGCCTCCAGTCCCTCACCCTGTCTCCTCCCACCGCCCCCAGCCCCGAGACGGCAGCCTTCATTGAGCGCTTGGAGATGGAGCAGGCCCAGAAGGCCAAGAACCCCCAGGAGCAGAAGTCCTTTTTTGCCAAATATGTGAGTGGGGTCCTGCCTGCCCCCCCTTCCTGACGAGCCCGCTCCCGTTCTGAGTGACCCGTGCCCTGCGCACCCTCCCGGCCTCCTGCTGCGCTCCTCTGGGGCCGTCCTGCCTGTCCCCGCGGCATCCGGGCTGAGCCCAGGCCGGGACGGAGCCACCGAGGGCCGCAGCCTATGTCGACTCACAGCACTTCTCGGTGGACGGCCGGCCCAGAGCCGGCAGTGCCGGGGACCCGTGCACCCGGGCTGGGGGCAGACGCGGCCTAGGCAGCGTCAGTCTAGAGCAGAGGCTGGGGAGGAAGTGCCCCAAGGGGCGGGCAAGGGGCAGCTGCAGGAGGGGGTTTTGGAACCAGTGTCCGGCAGCGAGGATGAGGATAAAGCCTGCGCAGGGCCCGAGCCAGGGCTATGGGGCTGGAGACGGGGGCTGGTAGAGATTTCAAAGGAACGGTGTGGTTTGCAAAGGAAGGGGGCTGGTGGGGTCCCCCAGCCAGGCCCAGCAGGTGGGCGGCGCTGGGCAGGGCGTGTCGGGGGCAGCGCTCTGGGCGCAGGTGCCCAGGAGGCCAGTCGGGAGCAGAGGTGGGCACAGGCCTGCACAACCCAAGAAGCTCTGAGGCCCAGGGTCCTGGGGCTGGAGGAGGCTGGTCCTGCCTGGGGCAGGGCCGGGCGCGTAGAGGCCGGAGGGGCCGGGCGGCCGCAGGTGGGGAGGTGCTGAGCCCTGCCGTGCAGGGCGCCCTGCCCATGGGGCCTCTCGCCTCAGGATAGCCCAATGGCTAAGTCGTGAGGAAACTGAGGCCCAGAGAGGCCTAGAGCTCGCCCACCTGGCCGTGCCCTCCCCGTGGCTGCAGGACCCCACGGCCGCCACTGGCCCTGACCCGCGCCCCCTCCCTCCTCAGTGGCACCTCATCCTGGGGGGGGCCGTGTTGCTCACAGCCCTGCGTCCTGCTGCCCCGGGGCCCGCGTCGTCAACGCAGGAGGCCTGAGTGAGGACCGAGCCCCCTCCCGCCTCTGCCCTCCCGCACCCCGCCGGCCCTCCCCGACCTGTAGTGACGTAGGGGACCCGGGCCCCCTCCTCACGCGGCCTCCCCTCACGCCAGCCCCGCCTTCCCCGCCCTGGGGGAAATGCTGCCCATACTCACCTGCCTTCTCTCTGTTTCTCTGTGTCCATCTGCCCGGCGCCCTGTCCTCCTGTCCGGCCTGCAGTGGATGTACATCATTCCCGTTGTCCTGTTCCTCATGATGTCCGGAGCACCGGATGCCGGGGGCCAGGGGGGCGGCGGCAGCGGAGGGGGCGGCGGGGGCAGTGGCCGGTGAGGGGCCCGGGGCCGGCCAGCGCCCACCCGGCCTCTTTCACCCAGGGGCCTTCTCTCCTGCACAGGGGCCTGTGTCCTTGGTCACCCCAAGAAGGAGTCACTGGCCCTCCCCAGGAGCCCCTTCCCTGTGGGTCTCGTGTTCCCGTGGGGGGGGGGACAGCTGGATTCCTGGCCCCGTGGCGCCCGCCCACCCTCGTGGCCCCACCGTAGCCCCGGAGGCCTCCCTTTGCCCGCAGGCGGGGGCCCCAGCTCCTGGGCCTCTCTGACCTCGACCCCTCCGCTCCCAGCCCTGCAGTCTGGGAACAGGCCGGCGCTCTCCAGCCTCCGTGCCTTTGTTCTTGCCCTGCCCGCCGGCCAGGCTTAAGGGCCCCCACTCATCTGCCGCACTCCCCGAGCAGGCCTGGGCTGGCCAGGTGGCTCCGTGGCCCCTGTGGCCCCACCCAGCCCTGCTCCGCCCTTTTTCTGCCCAGGATGCCAGACCTTCCATGGGCTCCTGGGCTTGAGGAAATGATGTTTAAAATTAGGACAAAAGAAACTAACCACAGGTAGTGTAGGGCAGGGCCCGGGGCTGTCGATGGAGTCCCGCCCCCCCGGGGCCGTCCTCCCTGGGACGCTGGCACTGGGTGAGGGCGGCCGGGCCTTTGCTACTCATTCCCCACACTTGTCTATTTAAAAACATTGGCAAGAATATATTGAAATACTTAGTGCCGAAGAGTTACGCTTTCCAGCAGCCACATGCACCCGCCGACTTGGCTCACAGCGGCCCGACGCGTATGGGTGCACGGGCGTCGCTGAGTTTCGATGCACATGATGAATTGCTCAGAAACCCCAAAACACGGCCTCTGTCGTTGTCGTGGCTGTGTGACGCTCTTGTGTCATGTGGCAGCTTATTAAACTGCTCCCCAAATGCTCAACACTTAGCTCGTTCCCGTTTTATGTGGTTATAAATAGGGCGGTGAGGCCAGCCTATTTGGTGTGAGTTTGAATTGCTTCCTGGGGACACGTGACTGAAAGTGAGATCACTGGGCCGGCTCAGAAGCATTTTTAGGAGCAGGCGATGCATGAGGCCATGAGGCGTGTGGTGGAAAGTTGTGCCCCTTGTCACTTTTACGCCTTTATTTTCTGCCCAGAGAGTGCACGGAGCACAAGCCGACAGAGCCACTGTGAATCTCCCTGCTCTGTACCCAGAAGTGGGGGTCCTGCGAGCTGTGGCAGCTGGCCTCGCTGCTGCACAGCTTTCCTTGCCGCAGGCCAGAGTGGCCTCGTCCTCTGTGCCCCTAGGAAGGGCCTGGAGCCCAGCCAGCCAGGTGTGGCTGAGCTCAAACCCGGAACTGGAGTGGCCCGGGGCGGAGGGCCTGAGCCAGCAGGTTCCGCGTTGCTGAACTGCCTCCACAGGGCAAGCTCCAGTCCCCGTTTCCCGACGGTCTCGCTCATGGCAGGGCTTCTCTCTCAGTGGGGAGAGGGGGCCCTGGCAGGTGTGGCTGCAGTGGCTTGAGCCAACGGGAGGGGCAGCAGTCAGGGCACACCCCTGGGTTGTGGGCGGGGTCCCGGATTGGGGGTGTGCAAGAGGCAGTGGGTTGATGTTTCTCTCCCTTTATTTCTCCCTCCTCCCCTCCCCTTCTCTCTAAAAAATAAATTAAAAAAAAAAAACAAAAACGAGGCAGAGCCTACCTGCACCATCCTGAACACCCGTTCGTAGCCTTTGCTCAATGGAGGTGTTTATGTTTTTGAAATCCTCTTGTGAGTCCTCCGACCTCGCCAAGACCTCAACAGGCCCCCTGTTTTCTGATGCCCTTGGACTTGGTCAGCTGCGGCCCTTCCCTTGGCCCCATCTCTTCCTGCAGGCAGCCCTGCAGAGGGGCCCACAGATTTATGTTTCTTCTGCGTGCATTGTGCTACACGCCGGTCAGCGCTGCGGTTATGTCAGCAGATTTTTGGAGCTTTGTACATAAAATGGCAGTGTCAGGGCTCTAACTTGCATTTCTTTCATGTGACCCCTACCCGGGACCTGGCCTGCAACCCAGGCATATGCCCTGACTGGGACTCGAACCTGCGACCCTTTGGTTCACAGGCCAGTGCTCAATGCACTGAGCCACACCAGCCAGGGCTTTAACTTGCATTTCTTTCTCCACCTGCTGGAGACCAAGCGTGAGCACGTTTTTTCCTGTCTGCTCCACATGAATTCTGTTGCTTTTTCCTAGATGATCCACGCCCCCAACCAGCCAAGCTTTCTTGGACAGAGTTTCTGACTCGGAGTTTTTAACCCTTTGTGTGACTTGTGGTGCAATTTCCCCACCGCCTGCAGTCATTCTCCGACCATTTTGTTAGTTTTTAATGGGTTGCAATGTAAGATCTTGATCTGATGACATCCTTTTCCGCTAAGACTTTTTTGATCCCTCTCATGCTGGCACAGTTATTTTGTAGTACATTGTAGTCATCGTGGGAGCTGGTTCCGGCTCCCCCGGGCTCTGTCCTTATTAAACTTCTCTTCCAGTGCTTGCCTGTCCCTGGAGAGCTCATCGGTGGCTTCATTTTATGGGCCGGGGTGTCTGGGGTACAGCCTGAACATCAAAAGGTACGGAAGTCTCCAAAGCAAAGAGCCCTCTGTTCGCCTGGCCCACACTGTCTCCCCTCACTGAGGGGCCACCCAAGTTTCAGTCTTGGGGGCCTTTGTTCTGGAAATAATCTCTCTATAGGCCATTGTGTAGTCCAGTAGGATAGGCAAATGTCAGTGGTTTTGCAAATTGTGCTGCTGCTGCCCTGCGCTAGTTTACGTCGGTGACGTAAGGTGCGTCCTCCTTTGTGGAATGGCTGGCTCCAAGCTGATGTCGCATGCCCACCAGTGGACCTTCGGGTTTCCTGCAGGGGTCACCAGGCGCCTGCGTCATCGTGCCCACATGCGTGTGTGCATATTCGCAGGCCACGCTGCCAGATGGGGACTTGCTGGGGGACGTTGTTCTCTGCCCGTCCACGTCCACAGTGGAGGTTCCAAACCCACCTCCAGCTCAGCCCCGCCGCTGCTCCCCAGGCCCCTACGGACGCCCCGGGAGGTGCCTCCGGAACCAGGAGGAAGTCAGTGCGCCGTCCGCCCCAGTCAGAGCTCCTGCTGGGGTCTCTTACTGCAGGGAGTGGTGCGGCCACCCACCCAACCTCGCAGCCCTGCCCTGCGTCCTCCCTGTGTCCTCCCTTCCCCTCTGTCCCTGTGACCACAGCCCTGCTCCCATCCTCTCCAGCCGGACCGTTGGCCCAGCCGCCTCCTGGCCTCCGCCATTCCCTCTCCAGTCCCGCCCTCTCACGGGGCGCTTTCTGACACCCGAGCCGACCCCACTCCTCTCCTGCTCCCTGCCCTCCTGTGGCTTCCCAGTGCCCTCAGGACAAAGTCCCATTCCCTCAGACTGGCCTTTGAGGCCTGTGAGTTTCTGATGTATTTCTTGCAAATTACCTCTCCCCCGTCCCCAGCCTTGGTTAACGAGTCAGTCAGAGCCACCGGCAGGACTGCAGGCCGTTCTCACCTGCCCATGCCCCACAGCCCCGCCCTTCTCTCTGCCCCCCTGAGCTCAGACTGGCGCCCCCCCGCCCCCGCGCCCCAGCCTCCTGACCCGGGGTCTCAGACAGGAAAGCACCTAAAAAGTAAAATGCTCAGTGACTGCCCCACTTCCTAGTTACTGCCTCACGCCTTGGAGGCCCTTCTTTGCCCTACAAAATGTCACCTGCTCCCTTGGCATTGGCGACACCCCCTTCCCGGCCTAGGGCTTCATAATGGCATTTAAGTGGCTTAGCACAGAATTGCAGGACACTCTTTGAAAATACATAAGGCTAATTTTAGTGTTTTTTAAAGCCCCTTTATTACGCTAAATTGTGCATTGTATCATGTGGGTAAGCAATTCTATAGGCTTCCTCATTTAAGCCATCTGAGAGACCCCATGTGAGGCTCAGGAGGAGTGGGTGGGGTCCCTGTAGCTGTCGTTCACCTTTAGACCTGCTTCCATTCAGTCAGGGATAACAGTGTCATTACAAAGAAACACATTCAGTTTGGCCCAATTCCTAGAAATAGGCTCCCAAGCAAACTGTACACCAAATCCCACCTTCCTTTGTTTCCCATACAGTCCCATATGCATTTCCATGGCAACACAGAAGATCTACCCAGAATGACCTGAAAATATGTGAAGTCCAGAGGTTTAAGTTGGCAGGCAAGTAGCTTGCTGAGTATACGTATTTACTAGGAGTCAATTTTATTTGTACAGAATTTGGAAAATTCTCCCTTTCCCCTCTTGACCCACCAGCAGCGCCCCCCCCCCGACCCCGCCCCAATCCTGAATTCTAGTCACAGTCCAGTGTTTGCGGGGACCAGCCGCATGTCTAATACAGCTGGGTTGCAGTTCCACTCTCCGCCGCTAGGTGGAGATGGGTGATTTCACTGACGTGTCTCTCGGGCCTCACGCAGACCACAGTGTCCCCCTTCGTGGAGAGAAGTGCCCTGCAGGGGGCGCAGGTGGTTCTTTGGGAAGGTCGGTTCCCGCGAGTCCTCTGTCCTAGCACATGCTGTTCCTCAGGAGCACTGGGTGCCTATTTTCTCCATCTTCACTGCTCCGTGCTGCCTGGGAAGAGGAGATGGTGGAGGGTTGGGGAGGGGGCTGGAGCAGAAAGGAGGCGGCCCTCTCCTCCCTGAGCTCAGACAGGAGCCCAGGGATCAGCAGAATCGAGGAGGAGGCAGTTCCAGGCAACCCCAGGGAGGCCGCCCAGTCCTGGGTGTGCCACTTACACGCTGTGTGGCTGAAGGCGCCTCGCTCCCTGCCTCCGAGCTTGTCCTTCGGTTCCTCCTCCCTGGGCCCGGGACAGGTCCGATTCCTCCAGGCAGTGTCCAGAGTCCGGGTCAGACAGAAAAGAGAGAAAATGGGTGTCACAAAGGTCCTTCCACCCCAGGGCCTCCGGCCTGGCAGGCCGGCTGCGGGCTGTCCTGCCTCCTGCCCCAAAGCCCACCAGGACCCCTGGATGGACCGCGCCTCCTGCTGCGAACCTGGGGACCTCGGGACATGGAGGGCACCAGAGGCAAAGACTGAGAGGGAAGCCCTGGGGGGGTGCAGGGGGCTGGGGTGGCAGGACACCCAAGGCAGCGAGGTTGGGCGGGGACCCGGGGACACAGGCACAGAGCGGGGGAGGCTGGTGAGGGGAGAACCCTCAGGGGGAGGAGAAAAGAGGTGACAGTTCGTGGGGGAGAAAAAGGAGTGGGATTGAAGGGGGGGGAGAGGAGAGAGAGACTGAGGAGAGAAGAGGGAACGAGCGGGAGAGACGAGAAAAGAGATTCAGAGAGAAGAGAGATCAGAGGAAGAGGGAGAAAGAGAAAAGAGATGGAAGGCAGAATGGAGGGGAAAGAAAGAAAGGGGGGAAGAGAACGTGTAGGAAAAATAGTGAGGGGGGAGGAGGAGGGGGCCACTCTGAGGAAAGGAGGAGAATGAGAGAGAAGACAGGCACACAGAGAGGGGGGCCTGAGGGTGGGGGTTAGAGAGAAACAAAAGTGGGAGAGGAGGAGGGAGCGGTCAGGCCAGAGGAGAGAAGAGGGAGGAGGAAGAGAAAGGGGGAGAGAATGGGGGGAGTGGGGGGCGGCTGTGAGGAAGAGAAGGGGGGAACGAGAAACAGGAACGTGCGGGGAGGGGAGAGCAGGACGGGAAGGCCGACAGGGTGGGGGGTGTTTAAAAGGCAACTGATTTTGAAGGAGGGAGAGAGCAGGAGAAACAGAAAAAGAGAGAGGCCAGGAAACAGGAGAGGAAAAAGAGAGGAGTGTGGAGAGAGAGAGGGGAGAAGGGAGAGGGCCAGGGACTTGGGGGGGGATGGGAGGGAAAGGGAGGGGGACCTGGGGGGGAGGGGAGGAGAGGGTCCTAAGGGAGCCTCAGTGGGGACGGGGAGGGAGGGGACAGGAGAGGCGAGGCAGGGCAGGGAGGGGAGAGGGAAGGGAGCGGGTGCGAGCAGAGGCCACAGGGGGGGAGAGAAGCGTGGGGGGGGCGCAAAAGGGGAAAGACGCGAAGAGCGAGCGCAGGCACAGCGCGAGCAGGTGGGGACGGCGGGCCTGCAGACGGGAGGCGGGTCGGAGGTTCTGGTGACAGGGAGGCGGGGACAGGGCGCTTGGGGAAGGGGAAGCACGCGGGCACCTGCACGCGGGCACCTCCGGGGGCTGGGAAGGCGGAGGTCTAGGCAGAGGACACGGTGGGGGGAGCCGGGGGGGGATGGGAGAGGAGGGGGGGCCGAGGGTAGAACTCGAGAGGCCCGGGGAGAGCGGGCCAGCGAGGCAGGGGTGGGACGCGGCCTGAGGCCAGGGAGCCGCGGGGACGGGGCGGCGGTGGTCTGGGAAGTCACGGCCCAGCCGCCGCCCACGCCTCTCTCATGTCTACGGCCTGGAGGCCGCCCCGCGGGCAGTTTTGTGACCCAAGAAGAGAAAAAAGTGCCAAGTGGGGAGCAGAGGCTGTACAAAGCCAAAGGTGTGAGAGAGGAGCCGGGAGATGAAGTGGGAAGGGAGGGGGCAGCAGAGGGGGAGGCGGGGAGAGACGGAGACAGAGCTGGAGGGGGCGAGGGCGGGGGGCGGGGGGACGGGGCGAGAGACAGACGGAGAGCGAGGGGCTGACGGAGAGAGAGGGGCAGAGGCAGGTGGAGACGGACAGGGAGCGGCGGGGAGGGAGACAGGGACGGGGACGGCGGGAGAGGTCGCGGGAGGCCCAGAACGACCGAGCAGAGGGGAGGGAAGTTGAAGACGCCCTTCCTAGTCAGGGGCCGTGTCCCTTTGTCCCCTGGTCCCAGTGACACAAGCTGCAGACTGAGAAAAGGTGCCGGTGCCGGGCCTGGCAGGACAAGGAATGAGCTTCAGACACCGTCACATCCATCACGGGGCGGCTCGTTCCGAGGCGGGATGGGAGTGTCACCTGCCCGCCCGTGCCTTATCTGGTGTCTGCCAGGAACTCCCGGGGGCTGCGGTGTCGACGGGGACAGGGGACGGGGTGGGCAGGGGTGACCGGGGGTGACCGCCTGGAGGGGCGGGGAGCGGGCAGACACCAGCTGTGGGAGCGAATGAGGGAGCCGCTCCGGGAGCAGGGGACCGGTGGGGGACGCGGAGGGCGACAGCCGCGCCGGCACGGCGCGGGGCACGTGAGGCCCGGGCGGGGTGGCGGGAAGGGCAGCGGCCGCAGGAGGGAGCGGCGAAGGCCGAGGCCGGCGGGGAGGGAGCGGCAGCAACAAGTCAAGGGAAGGAAGGCACGGGGGTGCGGGCCCGCTGGGGGGACACAGGGGACCCCTCGGGGGAGAAGGGGACGAACGGAGGGGTGGCGCGTGAGCGGACGGGACAGAGGCGGAGGGGCAGGACGGGAGCGACCGGCGGCGGGCGGCGCGAGGGGCCGCAGGGGGACACTCGGGGGCAGACGGGGAGGAGGGCGCGCGGGGCCCGTCCCGCCGCGCGGGGAGCGGGGACGGAGCGGGAGCTTCGGGGGTCGGGGCGGGGAGCGGGGGGAAGGGCCGGGACCT